AAAAAAAAAAAAAAAAAACCACTAAATTGTACACTTTAAATGGGTGAACTCTGTAGTATATAAATTATATTTCAATAAAGCTGTTATAAACAAATTTGAACCAAATCAATTTTATCAAAATACCCTAATAAATACTAAACTTTGCTTTCTTAAACCTTTTAAAAATTCTTTTGATTACTATTTTGTGTGTGTATGTATGAGAAAGTAGGATTTATTAAGAAGGCAGAATATCTTCCACAGTAGGAGGGGACCAAAGGGGGTTACCCTGATCACTATTAACACACATCTTTTTTGAGGACTAGTTTTAAAATTATTATGGTAAGCACCCTACATACAAACTTTCAATTTATGAACTTTAACATTGATGCATTGTTTCTCTCCACCAGGTGTCAGTATAATCTGTTAAATACCTACAGTACTATTTAGCTGATTGTGTTAGTTGGGTACCTAGGTTAACCTTGCTGGATTTAAAACAATTTGGACTTAAAAATGCACTCTCAGAACAGAACTCGCTTATATGTTGGAAACTTACTGTATTATAATAAAAGAAATATAAACATAATGATCAGCACATTATAGATACCTAGAAATGTTTGCTAGATTAAACAGAGTTTTTTATCTCTTGCAAAATAATATGTACTTATTTCAGATTTTGTATTCAATCCACACTTTTATTGAGAGCCTGTCTATTATGTGCCAGACACTGTGCTAGGCTCTCCAGGACAATTATTTAATCACCACCACAACCTTGGAAGAATGAAATGTCATGTCATCCACACTTGGAGATGAGAAATCCATGGTTCATCTGGATTCAATGTCTTGCTCAAGGTTAAACTAGGATTCCTGATTCCAGCTTAGTGTTCTTTCCATTACCCAACAGCTGCCACCCATCACTGGCTTTCACTTATACTCAGAAAGAACATCCTGACCCACTGACAGCAGGGAAAGCACTTGGTTTTTTCTTAATAATGGAAAAAGAAGCTCATTCTTTTTGGAGGCCAATTGACTAAATAGAGAGCACTAACTGGCTCTGGTTCCAATGGCACATGATTACAGACTACCCAACAAGTGTGGCAGCATCTGCCTGATAGCAAGCATTGAGGCAGAATCGCACCTTCTGGAGACAGCATTGGCCATGCTAATCTCTGCTTATGACAGGGACAATTCTTTATCCCAGAAACCAGCTATTCAAATAGGAAGTTAATTTACTAATGGGAAATTAGTAAAATTTGTGAGAGAAGAATGTGATGAAATGATCGTGGAAATAAGTAGGAGATTGTAGGAATAACTTTTTTTTTTTTTTTTTAAATCAGGTTCTCACTCTGTTATCCAGGCTGGAGTGCAGTGGCATGATCACAGCTCACTGCAGGCTTTACCTTCTGAACTCAAGTGTTCCTCTGTGTCGGTCTCCTGAGTAGCTGGGATTACAGGTGCATGCCACCTTGCCCAGCTAATTTTTTTTTTTTGTAGTACAGACGAGATCTCACTATGTTGCCCAGGCTACTCTCAAACTCCTGGGCTCAAGCAATCCTACTGCATCGTCCTCCCAAAGTGCTGAGATTATAGGCATGAGCCACCACACCCTGCCAGAAGGAACTTTTAAAGTAAGCAATCTTACAGTTATCCTAGGAAGACACTCCCACAGGAGCACAAAGAAGCATGCATAAGGGAATAAGGATGTTCCTTGCAATATTGCTTATATAACTGAAAAATTAAAAACAATCTAAATACCCACCAGTAGAGGCCTGGATAAATAAATTACTAACATTCATATATGGAAAATATTGAAGTAGATTTATAGGTACTGACTGGCATGGATAGAACTCCAAGACATACTACTGAGTGAAAAAAATCAAGTTGTAGAAAATACAATATGATAATACCATGGATATACCAAAAGAAAAGACCATACATGCTAATCTTAAATATTACATTGAGTATATATATATGAATGTAAATGTGTGGAAAAGATGACAGGTAACAGTGGTTACTCTGGAGATGAGGCTGCAGTTGGGGGTGGTAGTAAGGGAACTCTTGCTTTATCTATAATGAATGATTTACTTTACTCCAGTCATATATTAATATATTTATTGTGTAATTAAAAATTATAAAAATCTTAAAATTTACATTTAAACACCAAAAGTAGTAAATGAAGGTGAGGCTGTTACATTTATAGAGCAAGCTAAAGTTCATCCCTCTAAATGGTTTCAACTAGCCATGTGTTCTTCATAGCGGCTCTTTCCAGAGAAAGGGAGATGATGTAGAGAGAAGGTTGGTGGTGGGAGGATTAGCTAAAAGCAACAGGCCCTCTGAAATGGGGGAAAAAGAGAAGACAAGAAGATCAGAGAACTTGAGAGCTGGAAGACAGTTTAAAGACTGTCTGCTCCAGTCCCTCATTTTTCAGGCACAGGGGTTGGACACTAGAGGGAGAAGTGACTTGCCCAGTGTCAAAGCGACAGCTAGTGGCAGAGAAGGACAGGAACCCTGAACTCCTAGTCCCGGGACCTGCCCTATCCTATCTGACTATGGAAGCAGGCATGTTGGCATGCAGCTGTGCGGTTGTGTTTACCTACCAGTCTCCCCCTTGGTTCCCAGTCCACCAATGAATTCTGAGGTTTTGGGGGTTCTTGCTTCAGTTCTAAGTAATTATTCCTTTCTCAAAATCCACCCTCCTCCCCTTGAATCCCTACAGCCTCCCTCTGTCCTCCTTGTCCCTGCACTCCAGAAGCCCCATGGACCTTCTTCCCTACCTTGGGCCATGGCGCTCCTGGGATGCTCCCCACAGAACAGCTGGATGGACTGGAGCTTCAGGAAATTGGTGCCAGAGTGTCTGATTTCCTTTCCGTCCCAAGACGCTGGGAGACACCAAAGGCGGGGCTATACTGCTGCACCATCACCTGCTTACTGGGCAGATCACAACTGGTTTTCTAACTTGCCCTCAGGTTTTTCTTGGCAATGTTGTTTAGCTGAGAGGAGGTGTGGAGGTTGATGGACTGTCATAGCTTTGTGCCATGTGGGCCTTTGATAGTTCTTGAGCAATAAGGCATTCCCTGGCAGGTGCCGAACTATGGTGGGGGAGCCAGGGGGGAGAGGTGAGCTGATGGGGCCTCTGGAGATGGAGGGGGATTGTGCCCCTACAGGAAGGAGTATCGGGGTCCCAAAACACTGCTCACAACTTAAAGAGCCTCAGAGAACCTAGAACTCTGCATTCAAGCCCTCTCTTTTATCCTGAAGAGTTACTTCTTGGGCATTAAATGCAAACAGAACCCACTTTGTGTGGTTCAACTTTGGTATAATTTTATGGTATTTACATTTGGCAGTTGCATTGTCTTGGGTGAGACCTGCCAAGTCTAGGTGAATCTCAAATAAAAGCAAAAGCGGAAGAACAACTGGGAGGATTCATGAAGGAGTTTTGGTAATAGGTGAGAGGGTGGGAATGCCAGTGAACAAGGGTTTTGATCCCAATAAGAAAAGTACAAGTCCTTGGAGAGCACTTTTAGGGAGGAAAATGCAGGTGGGAAAAGAGAGAGGGAGTGAGGGGGAAGGTCTCTGCATAGCAAGTAGGTAGAAACCAATACTCACCCTGGCTTTCCCTACTGGGGCACTTCTCCCTGCATCCCCCGGCTTTCTGAGTCCTTCTCTCTCGGGAAGCTTATTCACCACCATCGTCCTCCTGCCTGTATTTTCAGCTCTGTCCTCAATCAGTTCTTGCAGGTACATGTGACCATGCACAGTTCACTGTTTTAATACACAGCTCCCAACTTCAACCCTCAACCCTATGTCCCCCTCCAGCTCCTGCCCTTTCTCTCAGCTACCTCTCAGCCAAATCCTTGTCCACTGCTTTGCCTCCCACTCACTCCTCACCCCTCTGCAGTTTGCCCTCTGTCCCTATGACTTCCCTGACACCAAGCTCATCTCCCTCTTCTGATCGCCAGGCACCCTTTCCTGCTCTGTCGTGGGCCGCCTGCAGACCTGACTCTGCTGCCCACTCGCTCTGTGCTTAGGTGACTTCTCTCTCTCTCTCTCATTTGTTCTCTACCTTCCTATCCACTCTGCCCTCTTCTCCTCAGTCCCCTTCACAGGCTCTTCCTCCTTGAGCTGGTGCCCCCCAGGGATTGGTCACAGGGTGTTCTCTCTTACTCCACTTGCTCCCTCGGGACCCTCATAGCTGTGTACTGCAGGCACCCCCTGCTGGACAGCTCCACTGTGCAAACCTCAGACACTTCACACCCGACAGGCCAAAATGGAATTTCTCCCCTCTCCCCTTCCTCTCAAAATACCTGCCCTTCCTCCTACGTCACTGGTCTTGGTGAGTGAGGACACTGTCCACCCATTACGCCAGGAGAAACCTGGGTGCTACCTAGTACCCTTCCATTTTCCTGACCTCCCTTTAGCCCAGCAGTCTAACCCAACTCCTGATTATCTCCTAAAACTGGCCTTTCCTCTCTGTCCCCTAACTGGCCTTCACAGAAGCCCACACTGGCCTGGACAACTCCTAGCCAGTTTCCCACCCATCCTCTCTCCACCCTCTCTAGATGGGGTCACCAGTGATTTTTCTGAAGTGCTGGTGTGACCTGGTTGCTTCTCCTGCTTAACATTCAACATTGGATAAAGCCTAAACTTCTCAGTACCACCCTCAAAGCCCTTGAGAATCGTTCCCTCCCCACCTGGATTCCAGGCAGGCCAACCCCTTCAGTTGTTTGTTGGGGACTCCCTCCTACACCTCTGTGCTCTCTCACATGTGCTAGCCTCTCTCTTTCTGAAGCATTCTCCTCTCACATGTCTTCTTTGTCCAGTACTCAGGCTCAGGCATCACCCCTCCAGGAAGTCTTCCTGACAGCCTCCTTCTCAATCTAATTAGGGGCTTCCTCTTCTGCATTCTCTGTTAGTCAACTCATACCTCAACATTATACTTACCTGTCTTTCCCCCAGTCCCCCTTGAAGACATTAGTAGTGTTTCTAGTGCTTAATAACAAGAGTGGTATAACTAGTAATTGCTTTTGATACCAGATCCTATCTCTTTTTCTTTCTTTCTTTCTCTTTCTTTCTTTTTTTCTTTTTCTTTTTCTTTCTTTTTCTTTCTTTCTTTCTCTATTTCCTTCCTTCCTTCCTTCCTTCCTTCCTTCCTTCCTTCCTTCCTTCCTTCCTTTCTACCTTCCTTCCAAGTTGGGATCTTACTCTGTCACCCAGGCTGGAGAACAATGGCATGATCCCAGCTCACTACAGCCTCGACGTCTTGGGCTCAAGCAACCCTCCCACCTCAGCCTCCAAGTAGCTGGAACTATAGGCACTTGCCACTATGCCCAGCTAATTTTTATATATTTTTTGTAGTGACGAGGTCTCACTATGTTGCCCAGGCTGGTCTCGAACTCCTGAGCTCAACTGATTCTCCTGCCTTGGCCTCCCAAAGTGCTGGGACTACAGGAGTGAGCCATTGTGCCTGGCCTGTTTTAAGTTCTTTATGTGCACTACTCCACTTAATCTTACCACATCCCTATAGTTAGGCACTGTTATTGTTCCTATACTACAGATGAGGAAATCAGGGCTTAAAGACATCAAATAGTTTTACCAAGATCATTCACAAAGAACTGGTAGAACTAGATTTTGAATGCAGGCAGTCAGGCACCAGAGCCTGGGTGCATAACACAGTGTCTAAAACGTGGTTGGGTTTCCAGTTTGTATTTTTTGCCTGATAGCGTGAATTAAAAAGATGACCCCGGCATGAACAAATGGATAAGTGCCTGGACTCGCTGCCATGTGCTGAGATGGGTTTGCTGTGGAGGAGGAGGGGACATGAGCAGGAGAGCATAATTGTGAGGGGGGACAGGAAGGTGAGTGCAGCTAGGGTGGGTGGGTCTGGAGAGGTATGGTGGCCAAAGGGGAAGGTGCCCAAAGTCCAGTGGGACAACAGCCTATTTCATGGTGCCCCTGGGGCCAGCCTAGAGCAGCTGGGAACAGTCCAGATAATTTTGGAGCCATCAGGTGCCACTGTGTGTAAAGATCCTTGAGGCTTGCCAGCTTGCAAGCTCAGGGCAGCTCTGCTCCCCCTCCCCCAGCTATCTTCCAAGAGAGGGCAGGGAACTCACACCCGCCTTGGAGGGCCTGGACCTCCCCCAAAGGACCTCACACAGTCAGGGGCCACATAGAGATGGCTTGTCCGAGGTAGCCACTGGACAGGAAAGAGGAGGTGGAAGCACCACAGAGGCACGAAACCCTTCATGGGATCAGGAAAACCCCGGCAGGCTCCTCTGCCAGGACCCTGGGGCTGAAGAAGACCTGGGTTCTGGGCCTAATGAGCTGACATAGGCTCAGCCTTTCATTCGAATTCTGAGATCCATTAGTCACAGGGTGGATGGCTGTGCTGGGGGAGGGAGGCAGCTCCTATCAGTGCAGCATATCCCTTGGTCCAGGTAAAGGAACAGGAAGAGACAGGGAAGCTGAGCAGAGCTATTGAACCCCTTTTTGTCTGGATGGAAGCTGGGCTGTGTGTGACTCAGTGACTCACAGGGGAGGGAGTAGAGAAATGTGAACACACCTGCCACCCCCATGAAAAGGCCAGCTCTAGCAAGGTGGGGTGGGGAACCTCCAGACCTTCCTTTTTTTCTTTTCAGTTTTAGAGAGGAAGTCAGACCTTTCTGAGATCCAGAGACTTTGCTGCTAATTTTGGCCCTGCCAAGAATTTTCCATATGCCCTTGAGCAGGTTAGTTTCCTTATCGAGAATCAGGGCCCAGGAGGTCCTGGGTGCCCAGGTCTGAGGGGAGAGCGAGGAGGTTTCCCACAGATGATTGCAAAGGGAAGCCACAATGGGTAGATACAAGTAGCTCCACACCCTTTATTTTCCCATCCCTAGAAATGGATACTGTCACCCCAGGAGAAACCAATAAACAGAAAGAGGACCTCTGCATGGGAATGTGCTTCACAATTTACAAAATACTTTTGAATACACTTCTTCATTTGATCCTCATAGCAACCCTATGAAGGGAGGTAGGACTGGCACTGCTACTGTTATTTTATACCTGGGGGAACCAGGGTCACACCATGAGGGAACCAGGACACCAAGAAGGAGGCTAGAGCTCTCTGCTTTGTATCACACAGAGATGTCAGGTGTCACAAACCCCAAAATCACCAGGTGAAAGATCTGAGAATGACTTTTTTGTGCACACCACGGGGGGCATGGGAAGACCAGGTGTCAGGATTGTGGGTGCTGGCCTGGCTTATGCCACATCCTTACTCCACAGCTGAACATTGCTTTTGCCACAGTTTGCCTGACCTGGGTGGTCAACCTCACTGGGTTGTTTGTTGTGAGGCAAAGGAAGGGTTGATCAGGCTCTAATCTCAGGGGGAAATACAGCAGTGGGCATGAACCCCAGCATTCTGGGTCCTGGGAATGTTCAGCTGGAAGGGAGTTTTGAGATGATCTAGTTTATCTAACCGAGATGGGGGAAGAAAGCCAGACAGTTTTGCATAAGTAAAAGAAAGAAAGGGAAGGAAGGAAGAAGGAAGAAGGAAGGAAGGAAGGAAGGAAGGAAGGAAGGAAGGAAGGAAGGAAGGAGGGAGGGAAGGAGGGAGGGAGGGATGGAGGGAGGGAAGTAGTGAGGAAGGGCAGGAAGAAGGAAGGAAGGAAGGCAGGAAGAAGGAAAGAAGGAATAGAGGGAAGGAAGAGGAAAGAGATAGGAACCTTACCAATAAGGCAATTCTGTTTAAAAAAGCTTCGTATCATTTCTCATGCCAGCTGCAATACAGAGAATCTGCTTGAAAAAATGAAACATCCATTTATGTATTCTGTATTTGGAAATATTAAATACTTTTAATTTTTAAAAATTACCAAAATAAATTGTATTATTATAATTATTGTTTTCATTATTATTATTATTCTTTTGAGTTGGAGTCTCACTCTGTCACCCAGGCTGGAGTGCAGTGGCACTCTCACGGTTACCACAACCTCGACCTGCTGTGCTTAGGCGATCCTTCCTCCTCAGCCTTCCAAGTAGCTGGAACTACAAATGCATGCCACTACCCCTGGCTAATTTTCGTGATTATTGTAGAGACGAGGTCTCAACAAGTTGCCCAGTCTGGTCTTGAACCCCCAGGCTCAGGCAATCCTCTCGCCTAGGCCTCTGAAAGTGCTTGTATTGCAGGCTGAGCCACTGTCTCCAGCCTATACTATTATTTTAAAGGAGGGAAAAAGACATAGACAGGGACTTCAACTATTTCTATTTCTGAAGTTAGGGATTCCTAGTATCTTTGAATAAAGAAATGAGCTGTGATTTATTCAAATGATAACACAAGTTCTGAGAAAAATACAAATAACACTTTTACAGCAATGGGTCGGTGATGTCTTTAGCATAGTATCATGGGAAAAAATTGAATAGGCCTAATAAAATAACTAAAGGCAATGGATAAGGAATGCCAAAGACAAGAGTTTTATTATCTGCAGGTACTGACATGTTTAGACATTTTGCAGAGCATTGGAAACCACTCGAAATAATTTAAGAATTAATTTTTTCTTTAGCCAATTCAATCAGTCAAGGAAGTCATATTAGTCTCTTTTTGGTATTTATGAGAGAAGGCTTAGGCACAGAGGGGTCAAAATTGTTGCAGATGCTATTTAAATCACTGGAATAAGGCAGAATGAAGGCATATGAATCCTCATTTCAAGTCTATTGAGATTTTATAAACATTGACTAATGTAAAATATCACAAATGATTAAACTATAGCTTTCTAGCCAAAAGGATTTATCATCTATACCTTATAAAATTATAACTGCAATTAAAAAATATAATTTGGCCGAGCTCAGTGGCTCAGCCTGTAATCCCGCGCTTTGGGAGGCTAAGGTGAGTGGATTGCCTGAGCCCGTGGGTTCGAGACCCGCCTGGG